ATTGCTTTTAGTTGGAAAATAAGGGGGTTAAAAGGAGGTGGTTTGTAGCTGTGGGTGTAGCTCAGTAGTAGTGTTTGCCTAGCATGTACAGAGCCCTGACTTCAGTCCCTAGTACTCGAAGAAGAGTGGGAAGGGGGGGGGCCACAGAGGAGGAAGAGGGAGGAAGAGGAAGAGGAAGAGGGAGAGGGAGAAGGAAGAAGGAGGTGGTTTATGGTTACTGTTGTTTCCTTCAAGTATTTGATGGGCTTTCACAAGAATGAGGGGCTTGGTACAGAGGAAGTACTAGATGGACGACTAGTGGAATTTAAGGATTCTTTTCAGTACCCCGTGAACATGAACTTTCTTTCTCAGTCAGAGGCCGGAGCTTGTCTGGGATATTATCAAAGGGATTATGTGTACATGGATTGAGTACTGTACATGAGTTACTGTACATGGATTCTGATTTCTTTGATTCTTGAATCTCCAGCTGAACACTAAGATTCCCTACATTTCTGGAATTCTCTGATTGGATTAGCTCTCTGTCAGTGAGACAAATACAGGAGTATCTGAGATGATCAATTTATAAGGAGGAAAGATTTACTTTGGCTCATAGTTTCAGAAGTGTCAGTTCATGATTGCTTAATCCCATGGCATTTGGGAAGCAAAGGGAGGGGTGAGGATCCCAGTATTCCCTTCAGGAGCACACACTCTAAGTGACCTAACTTCCTTCCTCTGGGTCCTCCTTCTTAAAAGAGTCCACCACCTCCCTTAGCACTACAAGCTGGTGACCAAGCCCAGACCATTACAGTGATTTAATATACATAGAAATCAACTCATGTTCATATGCCCAAGGACTGCCACCAGCTAACGCTAACCTTGCTACAAAATGCTCATACTCACTGTTAGTAATATAATATCTTGTAGTTGCGTAATGTTTTATAGCTTTAAAAGCTTTCACTGGCATGATTCATTTGCTCTGCTCAACAACCATATGCAGTGGTTGGTATCATCTCTGTCATAGGCTGAAAAGAGGGAAACGGCTTCTATAAAATTGCAGGAAAACAAGATCAGGTCTGAAACCCAGGCCTTATAACCCTTAAGGCTGCTTTACCTTCTGTACGATGGGTCCCACCTTCTATGTAGATTTGATTTTTAGGAGGCTCAGAGAGGACAGGAAACACTGCAACAAAGCATAGCATAACTTTGTGGTCTCAGTTCCTAAGGAAAACTGCAGAGGGACCCTCCTGGCAATACCCTCACAGAGAGCCTTTGCTGGGGAGGTTGGTGGAGGTGCCCATGGGGACAGATTAGCTTGTTCCAATGTACGTACACTGAGAAGATCATGGTAGTTACCATCTATGTGCTTTGGGCCAGGCACTTTAAAATACATCATCTTAATCTTTAAAACAAACCTAAATGAGGGAGGAAAGTAGAGAGTGAACTCCCAAGTCTCCGGTGCTTTGTTTTGTTGTGTTTTTTTCTGGCCTATATGCTGATTGCATTTGTGGTTTCAGAAAGTTATAGAACTCAGAACTGTCCTCAATAATAATAAAGCTTATTAGCCATCAAAGCTGATGCTAACCTTGGCCAGCACCTGGTACATTTGGAGCTTGTGAATTCTCTAGAATCACTGAGTACACAGGCCTATCGCATTGTTACGTCACCTTGTCGGCGATACACTTTATACCAATGAGTATTTTGAAGCCCACTTACTGTGATGTATCAGGGCTTTCGGGGTGATTGTCCCCGACCCTCCAGTGATGGAGCCAAGCTTCATACTGTCTGATACCTGTGGTCTGCACCATTTGTATTGTGTGCTTCCTCTTGTGATCTTTGTATCTAGACTCTGGCCTGCATGGAGATTGCAGGAGGTCATGGGAATGTAGATTTTTTTGTTTGTTTGTTTGTGCTCTTGTTTTCTTCAGAATATATCATTCAAAAGTATATCGCTCAGATTTTTATGAACTACACTTGATCTTAGCCAATGACATGAAGTATTTCTGTAGTTGATTATCACAAGAGACCACAACATTTCACCTTTTATCTTTGTCCTGTCAAGAAAATAGGCCGTCTGGTCAGCAGTGAGTTTTAAACTAAACTGAGATATCAGTTCCCTCAGTGATTTGGGCTGATCTGGTGCTGCCCTATTTTCCCCATGTGCTCAAAATTGGACCAGCTTGGGCTCAAGCATAGCAGAGGAGATTCCTTTCCAGAAGGTGACATCAGCCTCTTCAGAGCCTGAGTATTCTGTTTCCTGTGTTGTCTGTTCGTACGTGTGTCTGGATTCCTGAGTTTGTGCTTTTATGTGTAGGTATTAAATGAAATTCTGTTCTAAGTAGGCACATCTCCATGTGCTGCTGTCCACACATCCTTGTGGTCTGTGAAGGGGTATCTCCCTGGATGGTGACAGGAGAGTGCATTGGCTTTGGTGGAAAACGACCCTTGCCTTAGGACTCTCGTGGGGCCATGTCTCCAATCTGCACCTCAGGCTCCACTTCCTGCGTGTAGTACAGGGCTCCTCCCTGAGGCCTGCTGAGCCAGTCAGTGCCTTTGCCTCTGAATAAAGTAGCCAGGAGAGGTGGCATGTTCCTCACTATCTTGTTTTTTTCTTGCCTCCTTCCCCAGTGATTACCTACTCTCAGGTTGGAATTAGTTGAAGGGTTTGCTTTCATTCATTTCTGAGGCTCTTTTGGCCTATGAAATTGCATAGTTTTGTGAACTATAGTCTCAGAATTGATCTGAGACCTATAGGAATTCTGAGATTTCACAAACAGACAACATTAAGCCTGTGGAGAAATCAGAGGAAGTCTCCCTTAGGCCTGAGGAACACTGTACACAAGCCGTTGACCAGGGAAGAATAGCTTGATGCCTTGGAGGTTGCCACAGAACGTATGTGGTGGCTTGGGATGCTGTGAGTTTAGAGCAAACTGGTGGGGTCTAGAGAGTGTGCAGAGGCTTCGTGCAAGAGCTCAATCCCATTCTGGCCCCATATGGTACCATGTTTGGAGGAATAAAGGCAGGAAGAATGCTGAGCCCTTCCATTGGCCGAGGGGATTAGTGCAACCTGCATCCTGGCTTTGTAGAGACTGTGACATAGGCGAGTGCCAGGGCGCAGTGACTAGACTGACTTTGATAGCCAGTTGTAAGGAAGTAGAATAAGGGGTAAACCAAAGAGACTTTGAGTATTCAGGCTGCCGCACTGCAGCCTGGAGCGTGGAGCATGGGGACAGGTAGCTTCTGTTTGCCAGTTGCACCTTTGTCTTAAATGTTGCAGACACAGCACAGCTCAGTAATGAAAACACATAATCATCTCCCCAAGTCTCAGCAATGTGTATTACATTTACTCTTTAAAAAAGTGGAGGATGCATGAGGGAGGATTTTCATCCAAAAGGCCATCCCTGTTTTTTAAAGCTGGATACATTGGTTACGTGTTCTCTTTAGTTGTGTAGAACTTCTCTTTCCCTGGAGTTGCTATGTTTGTTGAATGTCAGACAAACTATTCTCTGTCGGCAAGAGTACGCACGGCTCTTAAAGGCATTTGTAAACTTGGTGCTGAGGGTCCTTCAGCTCCAGCTTAGTGTGTCGGCCTGGGAGGCCAGCCAGGTCCACTCCGGCTTAAGTGGCTGTGGTGCCTCCGCTGAGAGCCAGGCTGGAGGATGAGCCGGACACAGCTCTCCTCCCTCGGTGGGATTTTCAGACCAGAGGTTCTCCAGCCATGGGAAGACTGAGATTCATACACAGACCACAGGGGCTTTTATTAGGAGGTGCGTAGGGCTTTGCTTGGTGGCAGGTTGCTTCAAGCTGTGGCCTTGCCCCAGTGTGGACAAAACTTGCCAGAGGTCCTGTGTTGGAAGGTGACCGAGGGGGGCCTCCACTGGAGCTGGGCTGGAATAGAAGCTGTTTCTCCAGGCAGAGCAGGACAGTGGCCTGTGATTGAGGGATGGGGTGAGCAATGTGACAGTTTCCCTTTCTGGCCCAGCTGAGGTAGCGGGGCTCTCTGAACTCTTCCTGTTGGCCTGGCTGAGCAGAAAACCTGATAGCCACAAGAGGGTCTTGCTTTGAAGACAGGCCTGAGGAGAATTTTCAAAATTGCCTTTTAATTTTTAAATTTTGAATTGGAAAATAATTTTCTGCTGGAATTAAGACTCCCGAGAGAAATTTCTCTGTCAGTATAGGAGTGTGAGAGTGCGAACTCACAGAGACCATGTGTGTAACTGGGGCTACGTAAAAACCTTCACTGGGCCCCTGCAAGTTGCTCTACGAGATGGCAGGTATGCTGTATGTGAGACCAAGAATGTGTGCTTGTGCCACCACTGCTCATTTAGGAGTATAGTTTCCCTTCCCACGGCCACACTCTTACTGTGGACATGGCCTGTTCTCTTCTTCATGATTATTTGATGACTTCGGGCCTTGGGACAGTGATTGTATCCTTCATGCCCTTCTGCTGAGATCCAGAGATGGCAGTCCAAGGGTCAGGGGGCATCGGAGTTCATAAAAACTCAAAGGATCTCAATGAAATCGTCTTTGAAATACATTTTACCCTCTGGGGATGCTATTGTTCTGATCCACATAAGACCTAAATCCCAGGATTCCTCAGACGCAGGGCTAGTGAGCTGAGACAAGACACTGAACTGGGTCCTAAGAAACCTGAGTCTGTGCTTTGTTCTTTCACTCTGTGGTAAGTCTCTTGCCTCTCCAAAGTCTTCAGTTTCCTTTTTTGTAAACTGAGGAAAATAGGAAAAGTTCTGTGTGACCTGGACCTATACGTCAGTTGCGATTGTAATGTCCTCCTCATTCACCTGTTGGCCAGTTGGGCTGTGGTTATTGATGAAGCATTGGCAGGGAAACCACTTGGTGATGAGACTTAGTTGGGTCTTTAAATTCTCGTTCTGGACACACAAGGTATGTGGAAACCAGCTGACTTCAGTTGATGTTTTGTTACCTTACCTGATGTAGAAAAAGAAGTTTTTATTTCTGATCTGCTTATTCTGCTTTGCATTAATTTCACCTTCTTTTTGCAGTATCCAACGAGCAGCTCTGGTGGTTCTGGAAAATTACTACAAAGATTTCACCATCTATAACCCAAACCTCCTAACAGCTTCCAAATTCCGAGCAGCCAAGCACATGGCCGGGCTGAAAGTGTACAATGTAGATGGTACGTGCCTTAAAACAGTGCCTGTGAAGTACTTGCCTTATGTATGTTTTCATTTAAGACCAATTTCTTTTTTAAAAAAATATAGGCAAACATTTTCAGAAGATTGCTGATGTACAGTCTACATATGTGGGAATTTCATTCATTTGGGGAATTTTATGATTGAAAACAATAGTAATGTGTTTTCTGCCTCTGCTGGGACCCCCTCTCACCATATTGAAAGATATTAGGAAAGGACTAATTTTCAAAATTTGAATGTTACTCGAAGTCTAAGAACACTACCGTAGTCCTTTTAAGAGGAGAAATCTCAGTAGTTCAGTGACCCGGTGAGGTGTTTATGGGCATTTCTCCATGTTGGCTGGGAGCTGAAATTGAGTGGCAGCAGGAGGCTGAAGGCCAGACTGAGGAAGTCTCAGCTGTGCTTGAGGGTATCAGATGTTGAAGTGCAAGCAATAGGACACAGTGCCGGACACCTTAGGCCAGGGCAAGAGCTTTGCAGACTCCAGAGGAGATCGTGTTTTCAACAGGTAAAGTGATTTATGTATAGTATCAGTTTTTAGTGGTGATAGCCTCCCTCTTTGTTTTTAATTTTGCATATGAAGTGTGGTTCCTGGGAATTCTGAAGGCCTGGTGGGTTTCACCTAAGATCTGGAAGCTTAGAAGGTTCCCACTAGAGAAACCCAAGTCACCAGCCAAATAAGCCATTCATAAGAAAGCTTGGGTTCCACCACATCTTTGTGACAAATTAAGGTAGTCAGTCAGTGGTCAGGGGATGAAACGGGAGTTCTGAGTGTGAATTCGTAAATGAGCCACTTAGCATGTCCTCGAGTGTTTGTATTTTCTCTAAAAGTCGTGACTGCCGTGACCTGCCAGCTTACCTTGTTTTTCTATATGTGATCAATGTCCTGTGTTCCTTGATTTTTTTTCTCTTTGTACTTGTTCTCTTGTCACGCTTGCTCTCTTTCATTGCGATGTCCCAGCTGCCTTTATGGCCCAAATGAAACTTTGTGTAACAGATGATAAATGACACCAGCACACTCCACATGTTGTTTTTGGCTGAGTGTTGGGCATTCTTTATCCCCTTCTGAGTTCTTTTTCTGTTTCTTCCAATCGGATTGTGTCAGGAGATTTCCTGGCTCTCTTGGCTGTGGCCGTAGGGAATGTGGAATCCTCTCTCCCGGGAAGATACTCTTAGGATTTATTTGTTTGCTTCACGGAGGGTGGGGTGGACAGTGCTGATAGACCCTGGTACTTTCTTCTGCTCCCTTCCCAGCCCCTTGGTATTAAAGTTGTTCTCCTCCGTCATTTTTTCCCCAAAGGCCCCAGTAACAATGCCACTGGTCAGTCCCGGGCTATGATTGCCGCAGCCGCCCGGCGCAGGGACTCAAGCCACAATGAGTTATATTATGAAGAGGCTGAGCATGAGCGTCGGGTAAAGAAGCGGAGAGCAAGGTATGTGGCCCACTCACCTCCAAGCAGCTCTTTCTTTCTTTTTCTTTTCTTTTCATTGCCGGGATGAAGCTTCGGTGTACAGGTATGGCTTCTGTGAGCCTTGGAGTGCACCTGGCCAGATGTTTCCTTTACAAGAAAGGCTTGGAAACCTAGGTCACAGGCTCAGGGCCCTCCTGCAAAGGCCACGATGCCATTTAGGTAGTTCCGGGGTGGGACCTGGGACTTTGCATTTCTAACAGATTCCCAGCTGAGGCTGTTGCTGCCCTGTGGCCCACACTTCAAGTAGGCCTGATTTTCCACATCTGTTCCTGTTAATTGGAGCAAAAGGACAAAGGTGGTGCATTAATCAGCTTTCTGTCACTGTGACAAAATACTCGACATAAAATAACTTTAAAGAGCAAGGATATGTTTTAGTTTCCAGTTTCAGTCCATGGTCAGCTGACCTCATTGCCTTAGGCCTGTGGCAAGGCAGAAGCTTCCTGGTGGCAGCAGAGGTAGGAGAAAAGTACTCGTCTGTGGCAGCCATGAAATGAGGCGTTGGGGGGAATTGGAGATAGGCTCTTCATGTTGTGTGTCCAGTGACCTGTTCCTTCAGCTAACCCTTTCCTCCTCACGGCCTATTCAACTGTTAGTCCATTGATGAGGTGGTACCCTGTGATCCAGTTACCTTCCAAACCTCTACCTCTAGCCTTTTGGGGAACATTTTTGATTTAAGCCCCATTATTCTGTCCATGACACCCAAAGGTCCATATCTCTCTCATTATGCACAATGCATTCAGTCCATCCCCAGAAGTTGGTGGAGTCTCAGCCCTTCTAGCATTTCTCAAAAGTCCAAACTCAGTCTCCTCTCAGACTCCAGGCAGGCTCTTAGCTCTCAGCCCTTGTAAAAATCAAAAGGTAAGTTACATACAGAGTGATACAGAGCAAATGTTCCCATTGCAAAAGGGAGGACTGGGGATTGTAGAAAGGAGAGATGGGATTTAAGCAAGGCCATATCCCAGCAGAACAAACATTAAATCCTATAGCTTCATGTCCAGCACCCAGGGCATATGGTAGCATGATATGAGCTCCAAATAGGCTTGGGTATTTCTGCCGCTGTGGTATTGCTGGTTGTAACCCACACTGCATCTCACTTGGGCTGACTCTGCCCACTGCCTGCCGCTTTCCTCAGCAGAACGACAGTATTCTTTGTATCTCTCCCTTCCAAAATTTCCATTGCAATTTCAATTTGACTATTATACCTTCATGCATTGACCCCTCAGGGACTGCCTATAGGGATACAGCCAATACCCTGGTCTTCCAGACTTTCCTTTGAAATCGTGGTGGAAGCTTCCACAACCCCATAGTTATTGCATTCTGCATGCCTGCAAGACCAGAATCATGTAGATGATTCCAAGATTTGCCACCAAGTGGAACAGTAGCTGGGTCCACTAGGACCCTGGATGCAGGGGCCTCTGAGGTTCAGCCTGGACGACTGAACACAGAAATGAATCCTTGGGAAGTAACTTCCTTGTCCCTGTAGAAACAGTGCACAGTGGTACTCTCTTGTCAAAGCAGTCTTTCAAATGAATTCACGCTTTTACCCCACTGTAAGACTGCAGTGGGTCAGGGCTGGGCCAATTCTTGAGATGTCTTTAGGGCATCTTTCCTGTGTCCCAGTGCAAAACACTTGGCACTTTTTTTCTTAATGACACTTATCTTTTCAGCCACACCTTGCTTGGTCCCAGCTTTGAATGCACTTCTGGCCAAACTGCAAGTTTGTCTAATCTCTCCACTCTGCCTTTACCTAATGATTCATATTTAAATGAGTCTAAGGGCAGTCGGCAATACACATGCCGCTGCCTGAATATTTTGCTGCCTTGAAATTTCCTTTGCTAGATTAGCCTGTCATCTTTAAATTCAGTCTCATGGTCCCAGGACATGGACCAAACATTGACAAGTTCTTTGTTAGAATGTGACCTGCATGGCCTCCAGTGCAGTTCCCACTAGAGCACTTATTCCCTCCTGAAAGCTCAAGAGCACGTTCCCATCAGCATTATGGTCTTCTGAGTTTATACTATAACTTCCCATTAAGCTCTGCAAAGGACATTTTTAGGCTTCTCTAGTGAGCATCTCCAAACTTTTGCAAATTAATTTCTCAAACCGATTCCAAAGGTTTCTGAACTACATGGTCAGGTATAGTTGTAGCCATGGCTTCACTTCTCGGTACCAGTTTTCTGTGTTGGTCAGCTTTCCATCACTGTAACGAAACACCTCACATAAATTAATTTTAAAGAGAAAATTTTTATTGTAGCTCGTGGTTTCACAGGTTTTAGCATGGCCAGCCAGCTCCATTTGCTTTAAGCCGGTAGTGTGGCAGTTATGATGGCGGAAGAGGGCGGCTGCTCACCTCATGGCAGCCAGGAAATAGAGAGGAAAAGAGAAAGGAGCTGGGGACAAGATAATCCCTTTCGGGTGATGCCTTTAGTGACCTGCCTCCTCCAGCAAGCCCACTCTTCCTAACAGACTGTTTAGCTATGAACTCAGTTCATTGGTGAGGTCAGGGCCCCTTGAGCCACTTTCCACAGCTCCACCTCTGAACACGCGAGCCTTATGAGGACATTTTTGATCCAAATCATAGCAGGTGGTTTCCCTTGTGTGTGTTGCACCTCTTTCTTCCTTCTCCTGGGGGCTGCTGGACCAGGTAGAGTAGGTGTCTGGATCTGGAGGATCAGCCTCTGGTCCTCGGTAAGCTGCTGCTGCACACTAGCTGCCTTTCGGTGTGTGCAGAGCCCTTGTTAGGCAGAGTTTTGAGGGCCCTCCAAATTCTTTAAAGCTGAGCTTTCTTTGTCAACACGAAAAATGGATTGGAGGTTTCCAAGCTCCTTAGCAGAACTGGGAAGAGTTCATCTCTCAGCCCAAAGGCCCTCATCACACATCTTATTTTTGCTCTTAATTCTCTTTCTTCCTCTCTCCCCCAACCCTATGGAGGACAGTGTGGTCAAGCCTTGGACAAATTAGTGGCTGGATCAGCTTGGGCCAGGGCCCTTCGAGCCCTGAGGGATTATTCTCAAGCACTCTGATCGGTTGCCTCTGATGACTACGTCGTGTCACTTCCCAGGCTGGTGGTGGCGGTGGAAGAGGCGTTCATCCATATCCAGCGTCTCCAGGATGAGGAGCAGCAGAAAGCCCCAGGGGAGGTGATGGACCCCAGGGAGGCGGCGCAGGCCATCTTCCCGTCCATGGCCAGGGCACTACAGAAGTACCTGCGAACCACTCGCCAGCAGCACTACCACAGCATGGAGAGCATCCTGCAGCACCTGGCCTTCTGCATCACCAACAGCATGACCCCTAAGGTGCGATGTGCGGCCGGCCATCGGCCCTGCCACTCACCAGGCATGGCCGGTCACATTTACAGTGTTATTGATTGAGTATCCTTATCTGAAAAAAACTAAACACCAGAAGTGTTTCTGATATGACGTTATTTTCAGGCTTCAGAGTATTTATTTGCATGTGTACAGTGAGATACTCTTGGGGCGAGACCCAACTCTAAATATGAAATTCAAGTGTATATGCTTCATGTATACACTTCATGCATGTAGGCTGAATATTTTTAGTAATTTTATTTATGGAACAGAGTGTGTGTGCATTGAACATCAGTCCTTTAGTGTCACGCTGATGCCTCCAAAACTGGGGGTTTGGGAACATTTTGGATTCAAAACTTTTAGATTAGGGATGCTCAACCTGTACCAGAAATGATAAAAGCAAAAGTTTCTCAGCAACATCAAGTGAGAAGACTTGGTGATTCATACTTCCATTACCCCAGTTCACTTGTTTTTAAGTGCCTTTCAGAGGCCTAACAGAGAGTTTCTAACAGAGGAGAGGATCTCACTGGCAGCCGTGTGGCATAATGAACCCCCTGTGGGTGCTGGAGCTGAATTGGTTCATTCTAACCTGGCATTTTTACCAACTAACTTACAGGAAATAGCTGACTGGCTCTCATCCTCATTTTCCCAGCCTGTACACTGGGGATGAGAATAATGCCTACCTCATTTGGTTATTTTGGGAGCTAAAAAAAAAAATGAATTCCTGTAAAATATTTAAAATAGTACCCATCATATTATAAAGACTGACTATATAGCAACCATTATGGTAGAAATAATGCCATTGCTATATTAGGCATTTTGGATTTGTAGATTTAATTTTATTTAATGGTCTTTTAGATTATGATATAAGCATACTTTTGGGTTATTACCCTTTTATATAGAAGGGTGGAAAAATAGATTAAGGATGTAGCAACTGCTATCTTATCAGAGAACAGTGGATTCAAGTCTTGGCTGTACTGATAAATTGGTTTGTGACTGCAGAAGTTGCACTACACTGTTTTCTCTTATAAAAGGGAGGTATTACTGAGATCTCCCCAGTGGGGTTGTTGTGTAAGAATGACATTACATATGGCAACGTGGTGTATAATTCACATGGTAGAGAGTGAATGAGCTTGGCCTTAACGTGCATGGCTCATTCAGCAGGCTTTTTGGTACCAGGCATCGAACTTGGGTCCTTGTGCTTGCAAGGCAGGCGGTGGAACCATTGAGCTAAATCCTCGGCCCCTAGCAGCCATTTTTAATAAAGATGGTGTTGTATATCACATTATGTATGACTACATTGTCAGTCTTGCGACCCTTAGAAAAAGTGCTACAGAAATACTGAGTGAGAAACCCTAAGCCTTTCCATATCCTTTGACTCAGTAATCCCCCTGTTAAAAATATTCGGCATAATCAGTTATGCAGCCAGCTCTCCAAATGTATGGGTTCCACATCTGCAGATTCCACCAGCCACAGATGGAAAACATTTTGGCGGGGAGGGGAATAATACATCCATCTGAACATAGAGGCTTTTTTCTTGTCTTTGCCTAAGCAATTAGGTATAGCACTACCCATTTACATAGTATTAATATTGTGTTGGGTTTTTAAGTAATCTAGAGATGAATTGAAATATACAGGAGGATGTGCATAGGTTATATGCAAAAAGTAGGTCATTTTGTATGAGGGACTTGAGGATACTTGGATCTTAACATACAAGGGAATCCTAGAAATAGTCCTTCTATGGACACCCAGGGACTGTTATATACACAAATGTATACAAAGGGTTGTTGTTGTTGTTTTAATTTTTCACAGTAACCTCTAATAACTCCAAAACGAAGAGAATTAAAACTAGATCAGTGACTTGTAAGTTATAGTAAATCACTTGTTGAAATATGGAGAGAAAATCCTCGAGCATTAAGTTATAAAACATGGAATACAAAAAGATACCAACACTGGGTGTAAGGAAAATATTGCTGGCGTGTACAGGCAGATGGCTTGTACCATGAACAACAGTTGTTTTCTTTCTCATGATTTCAAGAAGTTTCCTGACTGCTTCCTGTTTCATTTAAAAATTTATACTTTTATGAATTAAAACTATAGCCTTAGAATAAAAACCAACCATTAAAGAAAAGTTTACTGGAGAAAGTGACATTTCCATCACCCTCACTGCCTCAGCAGTTCTTTCTGCTAAGGAGTTGGTATATATTCTTTTAGAAGTGTGTGTGCATATTTTTAGAAACTAAAAATGGAAAATCAGAAATGGGATCATACTGCCTATGTATATATTTTGGAAACTTGCTTTTTTTCCTCTTAAAGCTCCTCGACTCTGTGTCAGTGAAAAACAGACAACTCATACAGATTTAACTCATTCTTTGTTAATTGCTACATCTTATTTCACCAAGTCCTGTGATTTGCTTAACTGATTGTCTGTCGATTCACACTAGGTTCACTGGCCGAAACCAGAGGCTCTTCTTGTGAATTGGCTTTTATTGGTACCCAGCCACCCCGGTACATTACTACCACTGCGACTGCTTTCCCTCTGTGTCAGCACAGCTGAGTGGTTATGGCAGCGTGTTGCTTACAGAGCTGAAAATACTTACATTTATGGAAAAGTCTGTCTTCCTCTGTCCTAACAGCTTGGCAGTGAACATCTTTTTTTCATACGTATTTATGAAAGTATTTCGTTTCTGAAGGGTAGCTTTCTAGTGGAGGGGCAGCTAGATCAAAGTTAAAGATTCTGCCCAACTGTCCTTCCAGGACTGTTACCATTTCGTGCCACTCCCTCTGGCACCCGAGACTCTCTTTCCCCACATGTTTGGTGGCATGAGATGTTGTCATTCTTTTTAATCATTGCCTATCTAGAGAAGGCAATATTTTAATATATATTTCCTTCGTGATGTGATGGGAAATTAATTAATTTTGCGTCAAGTTATTCTATAAATTACTTTATTTGATTTTTCTCATTCGATTACTTCCTTTTCACGATTCATAAGCACTATTTTTATGTTAGCGGTACAAAAGTAAGTAAGGCCCTACTTTCTCCCTTAGAATAGATCCCCCACCCCATGAGAAATAATATAACTGCAGTAGCAGTGAAGTGTGGACAGAAGGGGTTCCCACTTTAAAACTCACCTTGGCCTCTGTCTAGGACCAGATTGCTATAACCCAGTGTTTTTCTGTCTGTATTACTGGCTCATTTTTTCTTCTTCTCACAGCTAAATCATTGTGTATATTATCTCACGTGACTTGAACTCCTAGTCTGTGCCAGACACGTTGGAAATTCAAATTTTTAAAAATGGAAAACATAGTTCCTTTTCTCTAGAGGAGCGTGAAGTCTAGTATGGGAAAAAGGCAAGCGAGTCAACAACAGTAGGTCTGAAAGTGAAATATGACGGGAGATCATGCGATCAATTATAGAATGTTGGAGGAGCACATTAATACGTGTGAGAGGTTTGGGAGGTGGTCTGAGATTTGAAGGTCAAGGAGGAATTTGTAAAACAATATGTAGGAGGAGGAATGGCACATATGAAGATGTCATATGATCAGCAAATTCTAGCGAGGTAGGTGCCCCTGGAACAAGAACTCAGGACAGGGAGGGAGACATCGGCCTGTCCGTCCTGTGGGCTGGCCAGTGTACACGCGTTTTACCACGAAATAACTATCACTCACCCTGACTGCGCTTACTCGACACCACGCAGAGCTGAGTGCTTCTGAGCGCCAGTCCTTCTGGTATTAGTTCATTAGTGTTAAGCCCTGCAGTGTCTACTTTCCATTGCTGTGACAACAGAGCCGAGAAGAACCATTTAAAGGGGAAAAGATTTATTTGGGGTTATGGGCTCAGAAGATTCAGTCCATGGTCACTTGGCACTGTTGTCTTTGTTGAGGCAGAACATCTTGGTGGATGGGGTGTGTGGGGGCACAGCTGCTTACCTGATGGCAGCAGAGAAGGAGTCAGGGTCCCTGTGTGCTCCTCAAGGACATGTCCCCACTGGTTTTTCTCTAGCTGGGCACCACCTTCCTATAGCCCCATCAGCTGGAGACCAAGCCTTCAATGCAGAGCTTCTGGGGGACATTTCAGATCCAAAGAATAAGAGTAGTGCTATCATCTCGACTTACGGCGAAGATACGTAACTCATGCCAAGTCAGTGCCAGGAAGTGGTAGAACAGGCACATTTTTCGATGCAGGTACCGTCCTGGGTTGATTCAGCCAGCATGTTCTGAATGCTCCCTTGTTCCCGCTCCTCAAGGAGCTTTCCGTTTGGTCGGCAGAGGGAGAGGCGCTCGTACAGTGGGCCCCTGCCCTTTGAGGAGAGCTGTGTCAGGGAGTGCCCAGCCACCCCCATTTGTTTGCCTCTGTGGGTACCTCCGCCGCTCCTCTGGTTGGGAATTGGCGAAAGAGAATGAGGAAGATCAAGAAATCTTCTTCCCAACAGGGAGGTATGAAAGGAGGGGATTCAGCGTGATAAGATGGGCACTGGCTGAAGACCTTTGGTGCCTTTGGAAAACATTTTCCTATATATAAGGACAGCCCCTGGCAGGACTGCCCGCACTCCATGAGTCTCTTTTCCCTAATAACTCTCTTTCTCGCTTTCAGGCCTTCCTAGAACGATACCTCAGCGCAGGCCCCACCTTGCAGTATGACAAAGACCGCTGGCTCTCTACGCAGTGGAGACTTATTAGTGACGAGGCCGTAACTAACGGGTTACAGGATGGAATTGTTTTCGTCCTTAAATGCTTGGACTTCAGCCTCATCGTCAATGTGAAGAAAATTCCATTCATCATACTCTCTGAAGAGTTTATAGACCCCAAGTCTCACAAGTTTGTCCTTCGCTTACAGTCTGAGACATCAGTTTAAAAGTTCTATATTTGTGGCTTTATTAAAAAAAAAAAAAGAATATATATAGAGAGATATATATGTCCAGAGGGGTGTCTTTTTTCTAAATTTTTTTACTCTTCGTTGCTGACTGAAGTTGGCAGATGATAGACCAGTATCCTTTGACCATCTGCACTTTATTCGGAAGGAAGCGGGGGTGTCCACCTTGATGGAAAGTGACTGGGGACACCTTGACTTTCGTAGATGGGACTTCTGGAGAAGCCGACGCTGTAAACCAAAGCGGAGCTGCTATGTCCTTGGGAGCCTCGCCTTATAACTGGTCCCTGACTCTCAGCCAGACCCACAGCCCCATCGCTTCTGGCCGACCACCTCAAAGATTCCAGGGGACCCATCTCTCTCCTGTTCCAGGAGCTCAGACACCGCGCCTCTGTGTGTTTGCGCGTGCGTCATTGTCCTCATCACCACGTTCCCTGTGGGAGTTGGAGCTGTGTAGGAGTCGCCTGCCTTCCTCTTTGTTCTTTGTTGCCTTAGATTCCTCAGAAAAATCCCAACAAAAAATGTGCACTATCAGGTTACAGCTCATAAGTGATTTGCTTTTATTTTTTCCCAAAGAAACCTACCAGCCATGTTTCTGATCCCGTTCTGCTCCTAGCCCTGGGACTTCCCACCCTGGCTCCACTCCACCTGCCCACCCTAGCAGACATGCCACTGCCCCTCCTGGTGTGTAGCCCTGGCCAGAGCTGCTGGACCGGCTCTCCATGTGTGCCCACAAGCCCTCTGCAGTCTCGGCGCCACGCCACCCGTCCGAGACTGTCCCACCACGGGGAAGTACAGCATGGCCTACCGGGTAGAAGACTGGAGAGCCAGCCAGCCAGCCAGCCGGAGTGCCTCTTTTAGGCTGCAGCCAAAGCTTACCCTTCCCGATCCTCCCCCTGCTCCACACCAACCAGCGGGGTCTAACACTGTGACTCTGGGGTTGGCAGGTGCCTCTTGGAGCCACCTGATTTCCCAGGGAGGTGAGTTTTCACATAGCTTATCCCAAGCTGTCCTGCCAAGGGAGACCAAACAGTGCCGACCACGCTGGCAGCTACTGCTGTCCAGCCCTGTGTTTTCTGACCACCGCCACTGTGCACCTTATCACCTCAGCCACTTAGTACCGGGAGAGGGGATGGCATGGCTCCTGCCGTGTTTTTAGTCCTTGGTCACATGGAGGCGAATGGATGCTGTGGAGTTTGGAGAAAGGGGAGTAGGGAGCCAGTCTCCCGGGCTGGAATGGTTCTTCTTTGATCTGTTTCCTATGGACCCCCTTGCAGTGGGTAATCTTTGTCTCTCTTTGCCTTCCTGTGTGTGCAGCAAACCTTCAGAAAGTGTTCGCCCTCTCAGATCTTTATGATAGTCGCCTTGCATGAGGATGATGCTATCAAATACTCTGTGTATGTGCGTATAACCTTATTGTTTTATGCATTCCACAAGTGGTACCATGTCTTGTGTGTGATTTTTAAAATCTCGGTTGGCTTTCAGTATTTGAGTACACCTGTATCTGAAAAAGCAAACATTGTTCTTGAGTCAGCAGCCTTCAGCTGAAAAGATGCATTGGAGAAAAAGGAAGAGGAAACCCAAGGCACGGCACAGAGCCAAGCTGTACTATCTAGTGACACGGTTCTGTTTATGAAAAACACATATCGTGTAACCCTGGTGCTTCTTTTCTTAGTTTTTGCCTCTAGCTCCCTTCAGACTGGAAGTTCTTTATGATGTCTTTCTCAGGAAGTATTTTGGGAGATAGGGTAAGGAGCAGTGAATGTGTGTGAGGCCTCAGCCGCGTCAAGGGGCTGATGTCCCAGACGACCTGCTGCACGTGAACGCGGAGCAGTTGGAGGTGCCATATGTGTAAAACAATAACAGCAACAATAACAGCACTCTTCATCAGCGCTGCAAGATGCTGTGCCTCCCACCCTATTTTAAGTTGCCCGTCCATAAGGGGTTGCGTTAGATTCATTCACTATTGTTTGTACATTCCCAGCAAGGTGAAGACAGGTTTAAAGAAAAGAACTTACTTTCTGTTCTCCTCTGACTCTGCATAGGAGAATGTCAGGCTTCCCGAAATTACTGTTTCTTTTAAAATTGAATATCGATTTTGTTTTTACACTAACTTTGTGTCGAGTTCTTTCTGAAAGGATAGCAAAATGAACCGCAGGATCCCTATAAAGCCTTTGCACTTTCAACCTCTGAAGAGTTACTGGTGCAGCGGGAACCAGGTAAATGGCATTAAAAAAAAAAGGAAGGCTACAGAAAGCTGGACCGCACAATTGAACACCGTAAATTTTTATTTCAGTTCTTGGAACCAGTAGGCTATTCTTTTTAAAGGGGGTAAACTGTACCCTAAGGCTAGTAGAAGATGTGTTCCTATTAGAGGAGGCAGGATTTCATTTACCTTAAATGTTTATAGATTTTCTATAGCTCTCAACTTAAGTTATTAAAATTCTAACATGAACTGTGAAAGAAGAACTTACTGAACAGTATAGGTCTGAGATTGCTGTCTTCCCTGGTGAGGTTTTAACCAGGAGGTAATGTTTGTTCCTAAGTGTGTACTTGTAGAAATATGGTGATTTTTTAATAGAACAGGAATGTTAAAATTAAAAAGTGCATTCTGGGAGTTGGATTTGAAGGTTATGTAGCTCATCCTTTGTGTTTCCCGTGAAGTAGAAATGCATAAGCCTTTTGCTGAAGTTCATAAAGTAGACCCTAGAGAATGCTCAAACACCAGTTTTTTTGCCTGACTATTATTACCTCCCTTTCTTCTTCTCTCTCTTTCCCTTTTGAAATCTACAAAAAGGGCAAATTTTTGTCAGCAAAGCATGAGAAGTAGATGACTCTGGTGTGTTTGCCACATTGCACTTCATTGCAGAGGTTTGGGACTCCTTTCTAACAGAGGGGCCAGCCATGCTGGTGCGTTGGGCAGGGAAGGGGTACTGACCATGCCCGTCTCCATGCAGCCTGTGGGGGCCCTCGGCTCTCCCGTTCAGCATCTCATTGCATTAGGTGCGTGCATGTATAAAGTGGCCGTAGTTGTCTGCAAGATGCCACCAGCATATTGAACCAACAGCAATGGATTACCTGCCTCTCCTCATTACCAGCCCATGGACCGAGTATTCCAGCCCCCCAGTGAAACCAACAAAGTTGGGTTTTTTGTTTACCTGGTCCCCACTGTGGAAGGCTCCTTACATGAGCGCGCATATTTGAGTGTGGATGTTTGTGTCCACGTGTGTGAGCATTTTTCTGAGTGTCTTACTGGATAGATGGCACCTTCTCGTGCTGGACATCTTCCCACCCATATTACCTGTGGCAGAGAGGTGTATATTTCAGATGCTGTGAATGCACATGTGGCTGAGTGTGTGAGGATATATGTGTTTCTACATATGCCCTCTGTTTGGAGATCTCCTTATAGCTCCTGGCTTTTGGAAGGTGATTCTAAAGCCAGCTTCTTCTCCGTCCCCTACTGTATTCCTTTCCCTGAGTTGCGCTGGCTTCTCACCCAGGAGAAATTGGGCTTTAGTTCACAGTATCTCCTGGAGACCTGTCCTACAACCGTGTACATTCTATTCTGTCTTACTTTAGGACCCTGTGACCCAGAACAGCAAGAAACAAACAAAAGTCAAGCTCTATGAGAATTACTGCTCAAACTTCACTACCCTGGAAGCCTTAATATAACTCAGATAAAAACAAAAAGACAACCAATGATTGGTTGCTAAAAGCACAGAAATGTTAACATATTTATTTAACGAGTCCTATAGCAGAGGTTCAATTGTAAAGAGATGTGTTTTGGGATAGTGTTTGTGCTTTATGGGTCTTGTTACATACAAAAAAAATCACTACTGTGAATTTATTACTATATAACTTTGTCATATTCCATTACAAACAAAACAGGTTGTTAAGCCTGTAGTGCAGTTCTTGAATGGTATTCAGCATAGCTTAGTCGAAACACGTTAGGCTCCATCGTGCCACTGTATTAAGCTTGAATCAAATAGATGCTCAGTTAGATTTTGGATCACATTTGACATTGTATTTGGTCATGAAAGGAAGGGAAGTGTACTAACACTTACATTTGTAAGGTATTATGTGTCAGAATCTGCCCTACACAGTCTCTTAATTCCCAGTTCTTTTGAGGTAGGGATTATCTCTGTCTCTCACACAGGTGAGAAAAAGGAAGATCTGACTCCTAACTAGAATATGGAATTTCAAAGAGATTTCATTCCAGTCTATACCCACTTCACCTTGAAGCAGGATGTAGGGTCTGACATTTTCAGGATGCCAAGGAGGGTCCTAGAGACACCATATTGAATCACGACCCAAGTTGGAGTGTTTACGGGAGACGGGACTGCTTCTTTCACTTTGGATCTATACCCTGTGGTCTCCTAGTACACTTCACTATACCAGCAGCAGGTTTTTGGGATGGTGTGAAGAACCTGTGAACGTCTTTTCTCCCAGAAAAGCCCATCCCTGCCAGGGTTGCAGCTGCTGCAAGACCCAGAGGTGTTACTGTTCTGCAGCCACCCTACTCTCTTGCCTCCCCTACCCTCTGCCACTCCTGCTGGTGTGGACAGAATGTGCATTGGCACATTCTTAGGCTTGATGGGTGGTAGGGGCCTGAGCTGGCCTCTTGCTCGCTTAGGTCTAGGTCCCCTCCCCTCTGCAGGGGAAGGAAGGGGAAGAGTATCTGTAGGCTGCCCTGGGAGGTCTGGAGCTGGAGGTTCTCCTGTATCCTTGACAGCAAGTTCTCAGCAAGCCATTTGCACCCAGTTTCCCTGCAGTTACCCTCAGGACTCTGGGGAATATGCCCTCCATTCTGCTGAGTTTTGATTCATCTGTACCTAAACCACTTTTCTCTGTTCTGATGTTTCAGTGGAAGACAGGGGAAAGGGTGCCACTTGCGTCCCTCAGCCTTGCTTCTCATTTGGAAGTTGAGCTTTCAAAGGGTGGGAAAGAAATGCAAAACTACTGAGTAAATTTCGATCTTAGGATACTGAGTCCTTTTCACTAGGACCTGTCCGGTATCCCGTTGGGTAACCCAGTTTGTTTTGCCTGTGAAATCACTTCAGAGGGCTGTTGGAAGGTCTCTCCAAAACCACAGACTCCTAAAGCCCAAACAGCACAGGGCAGGTTACTTTGAGAGTCCACAATTGCTCTCTCTCAGAAACAGCAGTGTCCTGTCTGTCTTAGTAGAATATAGACACTTATTTTAGCCTTGGGGACAAAGATAACAAACTCCCAGGCTTTTATCTTAAGAGTTTGGTACATCTTTTGGCACTGAAACAATATTTGGATGGCAATATTTGTACAATTGTTTGGTTTTGTAGGTCTGGATTTATGTGACCTTTCGCTTGTGGGCAGGAGTGTTCATCACGAAATTGCTTAGCATTTGGGCATTTTAAGCCCTTCACAACCTGTAGCCTAGGAGAGAATCATCTTCTGAGAGCACTGAGACTTTCTCAGGGAATTAGTTATGGGCACCTGAAAGGCAGACAACAAGTTCAGTTCAACTCATGTGAAGGGAGTTCAGACACTTGTGAGTCATCACGATGGGTGTAGGCCAGGAAAGAGGATGTGGCCAGTGCTTTCCTGTGCCAGTGCCCCTCGGTTGTAGGAGTAATGAAATATTTACTATTGGTTATTCTTTTTTCTTTCTTTCTTTCAAAAGGAACATAAAAGAATTTAAACTTTAATGAGAAGTTCATTTCCAGGGCTAGAGATCAAACCCAGGAGCTTGCACATGCTAGGCAAATGCTCTACCACTGAGCTATATCCCAAGCTTTTTAATTTTGTTTTGAAATAGGATCTCCCCTTGTTGCCCAAGCTGAACTCAAAGTTACAGTCCTCAAGCCTCAGCCTCCCAAGTAATTGGGAATACAGATGTGTGCCACTGCCAGTTAATTTCTGATTTTTATAGTAGATTCACTCAAGGTTTTAATTAAATGACAGACTCCTCTGGGGAATCCCTAAATTGTGATACACTTAGCCAAATTTAATTTGTGAGATATCATTCATGAACTGTTTCACAGAGTGCCGGACACCAGCCAGGCTGAGGTGGGGACATACACTGATTCTCTGGGGCAGTGAATTTAACTCATTTCTTGGGTGCCTGCATCCTCAATGAAGGTGTTAGTGAGAAAACCAGAGAGGCCTGAGCCAGGTCTTAATTTGAGAGGTTATTTCACAGTCGCCTTTGTTATCAGGGCTTTACGTTTTTTAATTTTGAGTTCAAGCCGGGGATTTAGCTCAGTGGTTTGGTGGCCTGCCTTTCAAGCAAGCGCAAGGACCCGAGTTCAATTCCCGGTACCCCCCCCAATTGAGTTCAGCATTAATCCAGAAAGTTCAGTGATAAAACCCTCAATCTCTGATGCAGTCAACTATGAAAAAAAAAAGTGATTGGAGATCTTTTGTCCGATTACTAGTTACTACTGTATGTTACCAGGAAGGACAGTTTTGCTAACTAACCTCTCCTCACCTGTCACCAAATGTGTATGACAAACCCTAAGTGTGAGTTGCTGTATTAACGGGGTGGGCTCTACTGAGATATTTCTGAACATGTGAGTGAATTACACTACCAGCAACCTTCTGTACAAGTCTGTTTTCTTATTTCCATAAAGTTCATGCTATGAAACTTCTTCTCATTGTGATAGGATCTGTCATGGACACAGTGTACCTGGTATCCACGTTATTTTATTCTCTTTTGGGTCCTCCAGTTGTAGTCCTCCTCCATCCCAGTTCACTATAACACATTTTTTAAAACACGTTATGTTTTCAATACTGTAAACTTGAAAAATAAATTGAAACCCAAAATTGTATACTGTTTTTTCTGTGTGATCATTTCAACCTGAAAAGCTGGGATTTTTTTAGGAACATTTTCACTCTCGCACAATTTTGATACTCTCCTAAAGACAACCTGTCGTGTTTCTGTGAAAACTAATCACGATAGATTGGGAAAGTAGAATTACCATTGCGACAAAACTACTAGTGGCAGTAATTTTATGAGGACAAACATGTTCTAAATAGATAACTAGAGATGAAGTTCTTGGGCTTTAAAACTTGGAAATGAAGCAGATCTTTTAAATTAAATGAAAAAAATTACTTGCGTCAAGTAAAGAAAGAAGAGTATCAGACCCTATTTGGGAGTGAGGAGCAGATATTGGCTTGTTTTTGCGACTGGCTGGCAATTAAAGTATTGACTTATTCTGGGTCTCTTCAGTGGCAACATGATTATTTTCAAAGAAGTATTGGTGACTGCCTTCTGCTAACCTCAGCTCTTTACCTGCATACAATGCTGATAGCACAGAACCCATACTTGTTTCAAGAACAAGGATCAGAACAATGAACTGAAGATACTCATAATATAGATTATTGATAAGCTCCTTAAGCCATCAGGATGTGCACAGTTCATAAATGCTAAACCCAACTCTGCTGGAGAAAAGATTAAAGCCATATGCAGACATAAACAAAGGTTTTTTTTTCTTTTTTCACTCATTATCCATAATACAGCTGTAGAATTTGCAAGAATTTTAAGAATCTCAGTTGATAAAATATCAGACTATGGGAGTGGAGTGAGGAGATAATTGTATAGAGGATGCTATCAGTATGAGACCGGGTAAAGCCCAGAGCCTGAGTTGGGCCCACAGGCGCAACAGTGCATGGGCAGCACCCCTGCTTTCGGGGGGACACGGTGGTTCCCTGTTAGTGTCAGTGTCGCGGGAACCCTCTAGTGAACTGGAGCTGAGAGACCAGTGCAAACCGCAGTACTCAGTGAAAGACTGGGCATAACCCAAATCGATGCAGTGAGGATGGGGAGGAAGGGGGCAGGGCTTGCTCCCCCGCTCCCTGTTGGGTGTAGGTGTGAGAGACAACTTAGGGTTCCTAGGCTTCTGGCTGAAACGCTGCCAGAGGGAAATGTCTCATCTCTGTCCCCTGCATCTGTGAAGAGGACCTTTTCCAAAACACCCTTGGGCTTTCATCCAGCCCTGGTTCCTTATCTGATTAGAAGTAAGCATTATTGGTGCATTTTTCTTAGGCTGGAACTCCTACTGAGGGTCCAGTCATTTGCTCCCACTGAGGAACACTAGGTTGAGTCCTCTCCACACGTTTGGGTGGCTGCACTCAGAGGCCAGAGACTGGGAGCCCATTCCCCTGAGCTTCAGGCTCCCCGGTGCTACTTTTGCATAATAGTCGTGGTGCCTTAGACTGTTCTCCCTCCTTTCCTCTTTTCTTTTCCTTCCTTCCTTCCTTCCTTTTCTGTCTGGCCTTCCTTTCTTCCTCTCTTTCCTTCCTTTCTCGCCTTTCTTTCCCTTCCCCTTCCCATACCATCCCCCTGCCATCTCTCTCTCTCTTTTGGGTCTAAGCTGCTAAGTTGCCCAGATGACTAGAGTTTGTGATCTTCCTGTCTCAGCCTCCCAGGTTACTGAGATTGCAAGTGTGTGCCACTGTGCCCAACTTGTGCTGATTTTTTTTACCTAATTTCTCACTTGGTTCAGATTTTTGGAAAAGGGGGCTAATTGTTAAAGGCATCCCTTAAAAGCCCCAAAGTTTTGTTGATCTGACGTACATGTGGAACATACAGAGGGAGCTGGCCAGGGGCAGGTGACGAGGACTTGGGACTTGGGAAAGGCCAGGCTGGAGAGAGATGGCAGGGCAGCCAAAGACAAGGAGAAGGGGGAACAGTGTGATCCCTCCCCCTGCCTTGAGTCAGTCCATGGTGACTCTGGAGGTGGTCAGCGCCCAGTGCTAGAGATGGCACCTTAGTAACTCTGGGCTGGCACATGTTTCTGAGTTTTCCAAAATAAGCTTGAGTGTGATCTTGACTGAGAAAACCTATTGAAAGTGCGAAGTTTTCAGAAAGAGCCTTGGGATCAGCATTTATGAGGAATTTGTATGCCTGGGTTATTAGAGATTGTTGAGCAAATAGCTTTTGATAATGTCCTAGAATACTAGTAGCAGGATGGTGATATTATTAACAGGACTGCCTTCCAGCATGATGCAAATAAGGGCACGAATAGGACACAAATGTGTTTCAGAAAAGACAAGCTCATTTCAAGTTCTGAGATGATTTTTAACAGAAATACGTTGAAAATGATCATAAGTCCTGTAAAACAAAATTAATCCTACTTTTTAAAATACCAAGATGACAGATCATACCCTTCTAATTATCCTACCTTTCCAATACTGTTTGTTTAACATAGCTTCCGAATGAAAAGAGAAAGAACATTTTGTTTAAGCAGTAAAAGAAGGTTATGGGAAATTTACTTGAGACCATCGTTGGACAGTATCTTTAAAAATGCAGTCCTTTGTTCCTTAATTTAAGGCATTGAAGTCCTAATCACGATAGATTGGGAACGTAGAATTACCACTGTAACAAAACTACTGGTGGCAGTCATTTTATGGGGACAAACACGTTCTAAATGAACAGATAACTAGAGATGAAGTTCTTGGGCTTTAAAACTTGAAAATGAAGCAGATCTTTTAAGTGAAAAAGATTATTTGCATCAAGTGAAGAGAGCATCAGACCTTATTTGGGAGTGAGGAGCAAATATTGTCTTGTAAATATACAAATGGAGTTATATGGTATTTATACTTCTTTAAAGTGGCTGTGTGACCCTGGGAAAATTACTAGAGTCTTGTGCATCTCACCCAGTTTCCTGATCTGTAAAGGAGACAGCAAGACACATCCCATAAGCCTTTATGAGGATTAAATGAGATAACATACGTAAGGCACTTAGCGTAGTGTTCCAGGCACATAGCACATAGACGTTTAATAATTATCAGCTTAACAGGTTTAAACTAATAGCTGTGTAGTACTGGTGCTTTCAGACACAATCCACTTCACTCTTTTGCCCTGTAACAGAGTTTAACTTAATGCACATTTCTCAGACTCCTGGGAAGAAGGGAGTTTTCCTGAAATTGGAAACAGACCACTTTCTTGATGGATTGCACTCTTAGGCTACATGAAAGGTTAGCATCAGGCACTGCTTTGGAAGGGCGCTTCTCCCAGAGCTTACTAGAGGTGCTTCTGTGCCTGGGTGCACAGCTGGAGAAACAGCTGCTGCTTGGCTTTGTGGGGAGAAAAATACTAATTTCTAGACGGCCCTGTGTGTAGACTTAATTGTGTGCCCCCGTTCACATTAAGGCCTTAGCCCAGAATGTGACTGCATGTCTGAATGTGGAGACACAGCCTGTAAGGTGGTAATGAATGTCACATGAAGTCATGGGATGGTGCCCTTGCTGATAGGATGGGTGTCCCCGTAAGAGGAGGAAGAGACACGAGAGCGTGCCCGGGTGTGCCTGCCCCTACCCCAGGAAGAGCCTGTGCAAGGACCCAATGAGATGCCAAGAAGAGAGCTCATACCAGGAACCCAGCTCGCCAGCAGCTGTGGGAAAACAAGCTTCTATTGCTTACGCCACCCAGTCTGTGATATTCAGCCCAAGCAGACTGATGTAAGCTCTGTTGGCCAACAAAGAGTGCTAAGGAACTATAGCTGTTCTGATTAAGTATTCATGTCTCAGCTCAATAAATGGGTACCTGCCTTGTGCTAGACAAAGTAGTAAGTGCTGCAAATACAAAGATAAGTAAATCTCCTGTCTTGAAGGAGCCTACAATTCAGTGGAAGGACAGACGTTATAATTTAGATGACAGGGGCCATGGCCCAGAACTTGTACAGAATACTGTGGGAACAGCGGGGAACAGGACACTTTTATGGCACCTAGATAATTGTATAGAGGGTGCTTATCACTCATCCAAACTGGGACTTCATAGACTGGAGAAAGAGTAGCTTAGAGAGGAAGGCAGAAGTTCAGGTTTTGTGGTGTTGAGTTTGGAGCACTTGCATAGATAACATTCAAGCCAAGATGTGCAGAAGCAGTTTGGTGAGTAAGTCTAAAACCAAAGCAAAAGGCTAATGTTAGAGGCCCAATCTGGTGCCATTAATGCACAGGTAATAGCTGAGAAAAACAGGTGCTAATCCCTCAGAAGAGCATGTGGAGTTGAGAAACACTGCAAATACCAACATTTGGAGGGCAGGCGAATGAAGAGGGGCCTGAAAAGAAAACAGAGAAGGAAGAAAGAGGGCGGATTAAAGCTGGACAAAAATGAAAAACCACACGTTTTCAGAATATGAGTTTAATGACAGAGTTAGTTAGCTATTATTCTAAAACAGATTGCCACAGTTTCACAAAGAATTTGCAGTTTCATATGTGTTACAGATTGAAAAAAAAAAATTGGAACTTTATACTGCACACTCAATGCTAACACTACCAAGCACAATGAACTTTTAGGCAGTTCAGAAGACACTCTGGGTTTTTTTCGGTGCTTTGGGGGGATCATTATGAACTCCAATTATTGTTAACCTGGTCAACTGTGGGAGTGCTGATAAATGGGGAGTTATTGACTACTGGATAAAGCAAACTTTAAATGAGAAGGTTCACTAGCAGTAGCAGAGAAGGGGTATTCAGTTCCGAGCTTATTTGGAGACGTGAGCCTATCCGCATCAGAAAAATTAAGAGCTTTTAATTCTTTGTCTCCCTGCCACCAGCTGCTGGTGACTATGAGACTTCTCACATAGCCAGAAGTTTGGAGAATAAATCAACCACCCATCTCAGGATCCTAATATGCTAGAAATGAAGAAGATACCTGCCCAAGGCCTCTCAATAGAGGTGAGTTCACTGATGTTCTAGATATGGGGGCTAAATTGAGTAATCGTCTGTTTTGCCCAGGCTCTGATTACAAGGTCACTCCAGGCTTCTGAGTTTGCCAATTGTTGGTTCTGTGACGATCATTGTCAAAGACGACAAGTAAACCTGAGCAGGAGTGTTAAGGAGTTGTCCCCAGACTGCCCGATTCTGGCACGGCTGTGACTCTATGATGATCTAATGAAGACCAAGAGAAGTGATCCATGGCAATCAGGACGAGTCAACAAGGCACCCATTCCCCTCCTTGTCCATGCTAAGTGGGATTGCTGATTTGGAAAGACATTTGCTCCTGATGAGAAAGGAGTGAGAAAAGATGTTGGAAAAAGGAAAGGCGCTGACTGAGTGTGGGGCAGGGCTGCTTGCTGCCACCTTGGTCTGTCTCTGTGGTAGCGGGTAGCTGTGTTTTTGTTTGCATCAGAATCATTTGGAGTTGGAGCTACTCGCCATCATCATCATCATCATCATCATCAGTGTCTTCATTATCCTCTTCCTCAGAATTATCATCATCGTCGTCATCCCCATCGTCATCGTCCTCTTCAGCATCATTATCGTCATCCTCAGTGTTGATCTTTCCAGAAAGCACATCCTCGATCCAGTCTTCCAGCTCCTCCGCTGTGGGCAGATCGTCATCGTCTGAAATCTCCATCCAGACACTGTCAGCCTGTAGTGAGGACGGAGTGAATGGATGAGTGAATGATGAAGGTGGCATCAGACCACAGGGTTCTGAGCTGCGCTGAGCGAGCCCCGGTTTCTTACACCTATGCAGAATGTGCACACATTGTTAAAAGTTGCAGAATGATATGCACATATCCCGTTTGTGTAATAAGAGGAGATTTGCATTCCACTGCCCATATACTTGTTACCATAGATTACTTACGGATAAGGACAGAGCAGTGAGAAAAACTTTTGCTTTGTACTTATGTTATACTATTCTATTTTTAAGTGTTTTAATTTGAACCTATTTTTTAAATTGTTATTTTCAAAGTTATTTTCAAAACAAATAAATGTGGAGTTCCCCCACGTTTTACCGATGGGGCAAAAGGACATTGCTAACTGTCCACTGTTCGTAAGACAGTCCACCATAATTAATTCTGGCTCTAATGGGTCCTTTGTGAACATCCCTTTTTGTCCACTGTACCCCTCGTTGTATCTGTGCCCATTTCTGTTTTGTTTCAGTGGATTTGCATCAGATGCCTGGACTAAGGACTGAAATTATTTTCACTCTGCCAGTCCATTTCCCTCGCCTTTCCCATCCTCAGATGGACAGTGTCTAACCCCGAAGAACCCCCCTTCCTTGTGCACGCTTTTTATCCTTCCCTCCCGTGGGCCTGCTGTTTGCCTGCAAGGGCTTCTGAGCCACACCTGTGCCCATTATGCAGTGACAGCTTCAGGTGTGGGTTTCCTGAATAAAGAGACCTTGTTCTTGGGTTGTTAGAGAATTTATTAGGTAAAAAAGTTCTAGATCAGTGGATCAGGCTGGCCCCAGAAGCAAAGAAAGGAAGAAAGGCATAGAAACACAGATTATGCCTGGCTCAGGACCCTGACTGGGCCATGCTGGCAAGTTTCTACATTCAAACAGGACCAAGGGTTCTCCTTGTTTCTGGAGGAGCTGGATTCCTAAAGAAGATCTCACAGATAGGGCTGCAAAGAGCCAACAGGGCTGGCTAAAGGGGCCTGCGCATTTGCATGGGGGATACTCACATCTGTCACATTCACCACCCCAATCTGTGGCTTGAATAGGTCGATCTTGAAGGTCTTCTCCCAGTAGGCAACCAGCTATGGCAACACAGAATCAGACAGCACAAAAAGGGCATCCCACGTTAAAGCCATGTTTTTGTGGCTGGGTTCATCTGCCGTTTTACCACCATAAGTGATCTTTGGGCTTTTAAGAAATTGCCCACTTGGCTCAGCCCTCAAGCACTGTAAGCATTAAATAAAGATGTCATCTCACAAACTATGAAAACATACGATATATACATCCATAAGGAAAAATATTACAGAGGTGGCCCAGTGTTGATTCTCAAATTACTTGTGGCTCTCATAGTCTTTATGGATGGTGAAAGAGCCATTTTCCTCCCCTACTCTTTTAATGTCCCATTTTTAAAGTTCTCGATCTCATTCCATGCTGCTACATGAGATGACTGGAACAGCAGTGACCGAGGAGAAAGTCTCTCAGGAAAATAAAGCCTGCTGGGGACTGAGATATTCAAGAATCTGAAAATTGGAAGCATTTGAAGATTATTCCTTTGCAAAAACCAAGGCAAACACATAGAACAGGACAAGACAACTACAGAGCATTTGCAAACTTATGTAACAAAATGGTACCGATAAACTGGAAATACAACCTGGCAGGAGCTTACATGACCACGACTTTCTTATAATTGTGCTGAATTATGACATTGGCCTCCACTGTCATGGAAACCTGTGCCTTTTGTTCACCCATTCTCTATGTAGCCCTGGGCATCAGGACCCTTGAGATCACTAAAACCCCTCAACTTTCCCTATGTGATTAGTATCATCAGTCATGACTGAGCAACTGATAATAATTCCTGAATGATAAGATGGTCACCTAATAATAACTCAACTTGTACTACTTACCAGCAGTTCACTCTTCCAGAAGAAAGCAATAAAGCAAGCTCTGGTATTAACTTAGACCTAGACTAGAACATCACATCTACTGTATACTATAGCTTCAGTCTTGCCATCTGTCCCTCTTCTCATCTCTCTGATAGGGATTATAATAGTGCCTGTGTGATGGGGCTTTCCGGGGATTATCTGTGATGCTGCATATAAACAACTTGCTATAGTTCCAGACATTCAATAGAGGATATTAGCTCTGTCCACTATCATTATTACTGAGGTTGTACAAATCCTGTTGTAAACCTAAGTACAATCAAAGCCTTCTGGCCATTGATCATCGACCCTGGCTAAGTTTGGACGGTAAAAGTTCTTGTATTTTACACATGTGTTAGGTCCTGGGGAGCACACTATCAACAGGAAAGGCATGGTCTTTGCTCTCAAAGAGATTTCTCCTTCTCTCTGCCAAGTTCTTAGCTCTATGGAAAACATTTCTCCTGGTTTTTATTACTCAGTAATTCAGTTGCCTCAGAATGAAGGTCCTCACCCAGTAAATGAAAGAAGAGACGATAGGGTCAGTGGTGGGATAAGAGGCAACTACGGAGCTGCTAGTAGGAGGACTGCGCTGAGCTGAGCTCAGTGGGCTCCTCAGAGAGTCTCTAATACTCGGTCTGTAGGGAGTAAGAACAGTAGCAAGTCTCATCATTTCAAAGACTGTACCAGGCCAAGTTTGATGTAGTCAGGGCCTCCCACACTGCATGGAGTGGCCCCTGGGTTTCTTTAAGGACCTTTGCCTAAGTTCATCACCTCCTTCCTGCTGAGGGCCTCATGCTAAATATGACTGTGGATTGTAAAGGGCAACAGAGAGGGTGTCCTGGCCAGAGCCACTCACCAGAGGAAAGTCGTCTGGGTCAATCCACACGATGCTCAAATCAGGGTTGTCGGTGTTGTCCCGGGCCACCTGTTTCAGGATCTCCAGGAACTCATAGCCATCTGAAATAGGATTCAAGAAGGTTAAGTAACTCCTGAATGTACATGGCTTCCCATGTGCAGAGGACGGCGTGGTTTTTCCACGAGGGTTTCTTAGGCTATTTGGTGTACACCCTTAATTATAGGATTAGTCTATAAAATGAGTCAGAGGAGAGCTCCAACCACAGAGCAGCTTATAGAAAGGGAATAATGCAACATTTGAATAAAGAGATCAAAAGGTCACAGAGAACTGGCTGGTTTCTAACTGGAAGCCAAGGTGCATTTATTCATCTACCTTGCCTCAGTGAGAAAGGTCAGTCCCAGATGAGAGGATTGCCTGTCCTCCTGGCCCTTCATGACTTCTTAGAGTGTGTGCTGTCCCTCAGAGTCCTCCACAGCCTCTGCTCTAAGGACAGAGAGCATTGAAATCTGGCCCTTTGGTTCTCTGCAACCTGAGATTCCTAAAACCTTTACACCAAGAGCACTTCTGATCCACAGTCATCTGGCTGTGAGATGGTAAAGAGGGCTTCCCTTCCCTCCCTCACCAGTCCAGGCTGCTCTGCCCTCCCTCTGTGTAGTCAGCAGCCTTCAGTGCCCCCAGGGAGGGATGATTCATAGGAAAAGCAGAGACAAGACTTCTAAGCTTTAAGCTTAAACCTCAGAGGACTGAAAGCACACAATTTTTGCAGTAAACAAAAATTTTGAAAAAAAAAAAAGGATAGTAAGAGATAATGAACTATAAGCCCTTAACACCATTCTCCCAATCCCAGCAAGAACAGAGACAAGAGTTGAGATTCTGGGAGGTCCCAGGGAACATAAGCTCTGTGTGTGTGTGTGTGTGTGTGTGTGTGTGTGTGTACCTGTGAGGAGCACAGACCATGTGTGCTAATGTGTCCACAGAGAATCTTCATAAGTTCAAGGAATCCCAGAGTATTGAGGATTCAGGCTTTGTTTCAGAATGAAACTCAGAAAAATTGAAAGGCCCCAGAATCCTCCAGAGACAAAGGGAATAATGATTGCAGTGACATTGTGAGTCTCTGGAATGTTTGATTCAAATGTTAAAATGATCTTGACAAATCTAAAATTCACAAAGATGATGGAATTCAACAACACAGACCCAAATTCTAGTAAAGACTAAATCTGAGGTGCAGTCTGGGACTGATTTACAGAAAGAAAAAGCAGAGACTGTCCATGCTGAGGGTTGTAGATTTGCACCTCTGTATTCAGAACTACAAGCAGAATGCACAACAAAGAGCTGTCATTTATAATACAAAAAAACTCATGTGATGTTGAAACTTAAACAAAGAAAGGTTAAATATGAGAACATATACTGCATCCCTACTTTACATTCTAGAACAGGTTTAGAGATAAAAAGGGAAAGATGAAAAGAAAAATTGGGTTCTTCAAGAAAAAAGCAAATGGAATAGAATATTTAAGAAAACAAAATTCAAAAGCATGCTTAATGCAGTGATTTTTTTTTTTTTTTTTTTTTT